CAAAAGATAAGCAATAAACTGGGAAAACATACTCACAACTTAAATAAAAGGAGCCCAACTCCTTAATATACAAAGAGCTCTAAGAAATCAACAAGAAGGCCAATAGCCGGCTTGAAAAACGGAGCACGACTATTCACACATACAAACATACTAAAAAGTCCTTCCTCTCATCTATACTAATAAAAGGGTAATATGCTAATTAGACCACATCGACCGGACGTCTTCCGGATGTCCTTCTGGACAAAGCAATGGTAGCAGGGGCCGAGGCAGAGGCGGTTAGGGGCGATCAGGCCAGCAGGGGAGAGCAGTTAGGGGCATCAGGCAGGCAGGCAGAGGGGCTAGGGGCGATCAGGCAGGAAGGCGAGCGGTCCGGATTGTGGGAGGGATGTCTGACTGCCGGTTTAGGCCCGATCCCGCACGGCAGTCGGACAGCCCCCGAGGGGTCCTGGATTGGCGAGGGTACAGGCAGGGCTGATGAACCCCCCTCCCCCGTGCACAAATTTCGTGCACCGGGCCTCTAGTGTATAATAAAGGAACAGAGGTTAGAACTACGTTGAACCTTATCACCTACTGGACCAGAAAAACCTAAAAGCCTGAGGGCACTGTTGGCAAGGGCAGGGGCACAGCGCCCTCACAGGCTGCTGGCACACACTGTCCTGCCGGGCGGGAGGGGCACAGTGATGCTGTGAGAACCCGCACCTGTCAGGCACCTGCAGGTGCCCTTCGGCCCGCTGCCCCTCTTCCGGAAGTTACGCCACGCACTTGCACACTGGAAACGCCACATCGCGGACACTCAGCAGCCGTGTCTGTGATTACAGAGAAGGAGGTGGCGGCTGCACTCCCACTAACGGCAGCCGGCTGATGAGATGAGGGCGCGCCCCACAGGAACCCCACGGACTGATGGAAAGGCCGCCTAGTGCAGCAGGTGACCAGGACGAGGTGCAGACGGTCTGGAGCCAGGTTTTCCTCCGAGTTAAAGGCGGTGAGCGGTCAGGATGTGCCAGGAAAGAAAAGAACCACCGGTTCCCTCCAAGCAAATCCATGGGAACCACCAGAGCCAACAGGGGATCTGAGAAGCAGAGGTGAGGGTGCTTGGGCTCAGGGCTCCTGGCAGTGGGGGCGG